TTTGGTTTCTGAGCCTATAGGGTGTACTTGGATCATGTTTTCAAGCTTTTCTCTGCAACCATGAGGATGCAAAGTCTTTTTTTTTTTTTTTTAACAAAAGCATAGATTCTTCTTCAAGAGATGTCCCTGTGGGTGCTCCACTCCAGGTGTTGGTGCATCCCTGTGCCTTCGCTCTGAGATTTTGACCGCAGTACTCGTACCGGTCGCGCATGCGCAGAGCCTGCCCCACACGCTGAGTGTGCCTTAATGGTATGCGTGCGCGACTGGTCTCCTCAGTTCCTTCTCTACCGTCCCCGGCCTGAGACGGAGCTCAGCAGACTTGTTAGAGAATTTTTTCTCTCCCTTCTTCAACTCTTTCCCCTCTTATTGTATCTCTTCTCTTTAAAGCAAAAAAAAAAAACAACTTTTCTTTTTTCCTGTCAGCGCAGCCGCTTCCAACATGCCTGGCTCTCCGGGTTTTAAGCGCTGTTCTAACTGTAATGATGCAGTCCCACATCCTCCAAAAATGTGCCCATTGAAGCAAATTAAAATCCAGGGCACGCAAAGACAGGGAGCGGCGGTTAAAACTTACTCCTGCTGCAAAAATCTCTCGGACCAGCCTCAGACCTGGGCTCCGACTCCTCTATACACCACAGCCCCCTTGCTTCAAAGAGACAAAAGAAAACTTCAAAAAAAATCAGTCTCTCTCATCCACAAAAGGTATTCGCAGGGATAAGACTTTTCCGGCCGGGTACTCCTTCCCTCCCCGTGCTCCCCAGGCTGAGTACCTTTGATGCGCCGGGTGAAACTCACCTGCGGCTGCAGCAGTCACACTAACCTCCAATGCCGAGGCTTCAGGCTTTGCTGCCTACCTCTCACACGGCACCGTTCAGTACCACAATGGAAGCGGTGCTGACGCATACTAGCCTGCCTGACCCCCCCACAGGCTCCTCTCACTCTCCTGGCACCATCAGCCTTTGAGCTAGCCAGCAGTGACAGAACACTCAGGACGCCAGTGCAGAGGAATCCCGCCTCACAACAAATTCTTCTTGCTCAGCGCTCCCCTCATAGAGGCACTGCAGCACCGCAATTCACACACTCGAGGGACCTGTTGTTGTCACCTATCTTGCAGTCACCCCTACTTAACACCTACTTCTCTCCAGACACTCAGGCAAGGTCTGCACAGCTTTCCTCCAGTGATGAGGAATCTGGGCTGCAGGGAGAATTTTCACCTTATCAGATTTCCCATCCACAGCCATCAGAGAGGTCATAGAAAAGCTGCCAGGTCCTACTCCGAGGGTCTTGCCCCATGGTGCGTGAACCCCTGGATGGCACCACCCATTCCCTCCCACCACAGTGGCAATATTGGGCTCCTTATACTCAGGACCACACTCATTTTACCACTGCAGCCAGGCATGAGACCTGCTTGGTACCACCAGCTGACGACTCTGCTACTGACTCCAGACACCAGGCAGCCATGTCACAACTGCAAGAGCAAGCACGGCTTTTCTCTAACCCAGTAGAACCAGTTGTTCCACCTGATGAAGCATTGCTTCCTCCTCCTCTGACATCTTTGGACAACTTCTCAAAATTTCAAGACCTGTTTAAAAGAGTTGCCAACGAGCTACAAATTAACCTGGAGGAAGTCCCTGAACAGCAGCATGAGCTAACCGACATCCTGCAGCCCTCTTCTTTTTCTAGAATTGCATTACCTATCAACGCAGCCCTTTTAGAACCTGCCAAGGCCATTTGGCAAACTCCGGCTGCAAGCCTGCCTACCTGTAAGCAAGCGGACTGGAAGTACTTTATTCCTTCCAAGGGCTTAGATTTCCTTTTTACTCACCTAGCGCCAAACTCGTTGGTAGTAGACGCAGTTAACCAAAAGAACAAACACCAGTTTCCCCGCTCCACCCCTTCTGCCAAGGACAGTAAACGACTAGATCTGCTCGGACGTAAGGTATACGCTTCTTCCATGTTGCAATTTCACATTACTAATTATACGGCCGTTCTAGCAAAATACGACCACAAAAATTACAATAAATTCATGGACTTTATTGATCACATTCCAGAAGAAAAGAAACAACAATTTACAGCCATAGTTTCCAAGGGACAAATCTTCTCCCGCACTGCTCTTCAAGCTGCCCTTGATGTGGGCAATACTGTGGCATGGTCCACTGCCACAGCAGTCGTGATGCGCCAAGGGTCATGGCTCTTGTCCTCTTCCTTTCCCTGGGAAAACTATGAAAACAGCATTCTTAGTGGCAATCACCTCCACCAGACGTGCAAGAGAAATAGTAGCTCTCATGGAGGACCCACCTGACACAATATTTTTTAAGGACAAGGTTACCCTCCGACTTCACCCCAAATTTCTTCCAAAGGTACATTAGTCATTCCACATCAAAGAACCTATACACCTGCCAACCTTGTTTCCTAAACTGCATGCAAACTCCTCTGAATCCACAATGCATACATTGGATGTATGCAGGCCTTTGTCCTTTTATTTGGATAGAACCAGACCCTTTAGGACAGAGGTGGGCAAACTTTTTGGCCTGAGGGCCGCATTGGGTTTCCGAAATAGTATGGAGGGCAAGTTAGGGGAGACTGTGCCTCCCTAAACAGCCACGCGTGGCCCGGCCCCCGCCCCTTATCTGGGCTCCTCCCCGCTTCTCGCTCCTTGATAGCCCCCCTGGGACTCCTGCCCCATCCAACCCCCCCGTTCCCTGACAGCCCCCCGGGACCCCT